GTATTTCTTAAGAGCATTGTTTTGATTTGTGGCTCTAAGAATTAGTAGTAGTGTCTCTGAAGTGTCCATATATGTGTTGCCTTGTGCCTGTAGCATCTTAGATTCCTTGAAACAATGGTTGTATACATGTTTCCTAGTCCTTTCCATGTACTATACATATTTGTAGAGATACAAAATCGTTTCCATACTGTATGCCTTTGCTCTCAAGTGTGAAATGTTATTGTATACTGTATACAATTGTCTATACCTTAATATATGTATCTAGTACCATTTCATACAGTTCTACTTGTTTGCAATTCGATTTCTAAGTACTGTAGTCTCATAGGGTCTTAAAGATATTGAATTTGCCCTTTCAAATGTATAGTTCACATGTCTGAACTTGTGTTCTGTTGTAGAACACTCTAGTTCCATTACTGAATCCTCAGTATTGTCTTTATAAGGTATCCAAATCAATAAAACATGTAGAAATCCACTAGATATCTTGTAATCTGTATCATAGCTGTCATTTGATGTTAATTCTATGTAGTTCTTACTGTCCAAGTTGTCTGCTAATTTATCTATAGTAGAGTAATTGATACTAATATTACTAGATAATGAACTATCATTCTACACATTGTTCAATGTGATCATATTACAAGTAGGACAATTCCTGGCTAAGTGATCATCTTGTTCACAAATGAAACATAGTCCTTTCACTCTTATTTTATCCAATTTCAATTGGGAATAATGTTTGAAACCTGTAGCATATGTTCTCTGATAGTTTCCTTACTTTTGATAGTGCTGGTCCTCATTTCTTAATACTTGATACTATTGTTTATCCTTTCCTTTAGTATTTGCACTACTTGTATGTATAGTATCCTGACTAGAGTTACTGTGATTAGAATCATCACTTTTACTATCCTATAGAGTGTCTTGATCATTTCCTGAATTATTAGAACTGTCTGTATACAAATAATCACTCTAAGAATCATTATTGTGTTCTTGTAGATGAAATTAATGTCTAGAATCTATGTACCATTTGATTCCTATGGATTCATTTGCTTTTTCAATACTCTCAAGCCTATCCTTAAAGATAGAGTAATCTACAGTGTCTGGATTCAAGCAATCTAATTGTAATTGCCTCTGATAGTTAGAATTCAATCCATACTATGCTTGTCTAGTCAATTCTTGCTGAGAAATGTTTCCTAGATTTGTAGCTTTCATTTCTAGATTATACAAATAATCCTGAATGTTCTTATTACCTTGTTTCAAAGTATTGAACTCTTTCTACAGTATTTCAGTAAAGTTGGATAGGAAACAAAAGTCCATAAGTCCTCTAAAGATTTGAGCAAGTGTCCATCTATACTCATGGTTTACAATCTTTTGTAAATAGAATTTTATTACTTTTCCCTTAATAAAACCTAGCATTATCCCTACTTGGCTCTTAGGGAAATGATGAAGTCCTGATTATTTCATGTACTGATTGACTTCAATAACAAACTTTGTATACTTCTGCAAGTCTGGTTCACCTGAGTATACTGTAGGAGCTATTGGTTCTGTACTGTACATCTGTATCTTTAATTTAAGGAGTTCTTTGTTCTGTTTCTTCCTCAAGCATTTCTTACACTTCTTAGTAGCTTCAGTATCACTTGAGTTGATGTCTGACAGTTTGAATAAAGCATTACTTTGATTATTGTCATTGGATGAAGAGGAATCTGAATTATTACTGTCTGGGTCTGATTCTAGGTTAAAATTTCCCTTTTTCTGTCTCCTAGAGCTCTGAATTACTTTGTATACATAACTATTCTTTACTAGGCTCTCTGAAGGTCTTACTGATACAAATCTACCTTTCTGAACATTATTCAGTGCTTTGCTATGCCTGTGTCCATTGTTTGTTCTTGAACTACAGCTTGAGCTATTCTTATACTTACTATACTCAATATATAGCTTTGAACTGTGTAGTTTGCTACACTCTGAATCAATATTGTTCTCACTAATACTACTAGTGTATACCTTGCCTAGGACTGCTTTCAATTGTAAAGTATTACTATAGGATTGTTTGTTCACTAATTTAATGTAATGTATGCTCTAATACTCTGAAAAACTTGGTATTTCTATTTAAGACTGTATATATCTAGGTATTTCACTTTCTCTTTTATTCCTGGACCTGGCTAGAGTGTTGTATCCATTGTAGTACTCCTGTACATTGCTTCTGTGTAATGTGTAGTTGATATCTACCATGTATGAGGTTAAACACTCAATTTTGTAAGTGTATACTTGGTTTTCACTCTCTAAATCAAGTACTAATCCTTGTAGTTCCAATTTGTGTTCACTTTTGCTATCCTCAAAGTACTGTTCTGTTAATACAAGGTCTGTTTTGCTTGGATAGTCTGAATCAATTTCACAATCATATTGAATGCCTAGCAGTTCTGGGTTTCATTCTGTTCCTTACACTTTGTATATTCCTCTTACTTTATACTTTCCTTTTGCTTTCTACAAATGCAATTGTTTGTCTGGACTCTTGAGTGTTTCTTCTACACTCTTGTATCAATAGTTCTGATCTCTATTGTCTGTGGGTACTATAGTAGGTCTGGCTTTCATTCTATTGCCTGCCTGAAGTGTTTTACACTTTTCTGTTACTATACTATTGAGTCTACTCTTGTTTGATAAAGGAGTTGCTTTCTCCTCTTCCTGATACATTCTATCAAATTTGTATGTTCTCTTATTCAAATTGTTAATGTCTATCGAACTGTGGAATGGGCTGACATGTTCTATGTCTATCTCAATTACTCTGGCTCTTACAATGTGTCTAAAGGTCTTACTTACCTTCTAGAAGTCTTGTTCCTTATTGAATCTCTGTAGTTTTAATGTCTGGCTCTCCTAGCCTTTGTTACTCTTGTGTTCTGAGTCCTGGCTGCTTTCTTCACTGTCTAAAAGGGTCTTAGGTGTCTAATTGCCCTCTATATTACTATTGTCAATGTGTTTCCATTCTAAAGTAAGTACACTCACTAGATACTCATCCACACTCTTACTAATACTAACTATATGTATAATAGAATCTATACTATCTTCCTGTATACTTGCTTTTGTTAATTGACTGGCTGAATCCTCAAAACCAATCACCTGTTCTCTATTAAGTAAATCCTCAAACTTAGTAGCCTTACATTAATTGAGTGAATCCTCAAGCTCAATTGCCTGTACTTGGTCAGTTGAATCCTTAAACCTGACCTTCTGTACTCAATTAGATGAATCCTTGAATCTAATTGCCTGAGTGTCTTCACTCTTTGTACTACTATTTACTATTTCTGCAAGCCTAGTAGTGTGAGTACTTACTAGTTTCTACTCTACAGTGTATATTTGACTAACTATATACACTGGTACAATTACATGCCTTAGTTCTACATTACTAGTATGTAGTAGTTTATCAGGGTGCCTTCAGCCTTGTGTAGACAAGGACTTATTACCTGGAATAAGTTCATTAGGTTGCCTCCAGTCTACAAGGGACAAGGTCTTATACTCTAGCATGTTAGTATTAATATCCAGACTTGGGTACCCTCTGGGAATTGTCTGTCAAGGCTTGGCAGCCACATTGTAATCAATATCTAATGGATAATCTTATTGTCCATTACCTGTAAACTCAATACACACCTGTTTGTTCCTTTTTACCTTTATAGATGCCTGGTCCTCAACCCATCCAATCAATGTAAACCTCTAGCATATTCAGTACTAGTCTATATTAATATGTGCTAATGTGTTCCAGAAGCATTCTGTAGCATTCTAAAGCATTGTGAACCTACTAGGAGCCAATCTAGTAAGTAGTCTCTGTTTCTACTCGAAAATTGTAACTTTACTCACTAATAATTCCTGAGGGGTACTAGACAACAAGAGAGACCTAGGGTTGATCAGACCCTTTAGTTCCTCAGCATCCAGTAAGGGGTTTTGATACTAGGTGGGTACAGTCAAAAATATGTAAGGAAACTCACTATTCCTTACAAGAGAATTCTAATTGCCCTTAGTTCACTTAACTACTAACTAGGATAACCTAGTACTTGAGTAAGGGGTCAGGGGAAAAGAATCCCCTTTACTCAGCAATTGATACTGTCTTTTATAGGGTGGTACACATGTAGATACATGAGGAGGAAGTGTAACTAACTACAATAAGAATATATACACTTGTGGGTCCTACTGTGTAATGATCTGACACAATTAGTAATGTAGTAATAATAAAATACAAACCAGTAAATCAAATCCTTACACACTTTATAAGGTAATACAAGAATTTAGACTTTTTCCTAATGTTACAAATTATTGTCTTGTGTTTAATATGAAGCAACCAGTCTAAGTGAAACAGTTCTTTGCTTATATCTTTACAGAAAATCATTGTGATAGGTATCAAGTAGATAAATACAGGCACAGATGCTTCTATCTGGCAAAAATTATTATAGCTGATTTGATAAATAAAGGATAGAGCTCTAATGGTTTTGCCTCAGAATCATGGACAGTGTTGGATTCAATTACAAAGGATCAAGTGATAAGTGTTGATGATGGTAAAGGGGGTCAGGAAACATATATCATCCTATTTGGAATAGGGACATTCCTTTGAGAGAAGAGATCAAGATGTTTACTAGTTCCAGTGTATGTAGGAATGATATTACTTATCATCAAAAGAGTAGTGGTAATTCTACACCTAATACACATAGTTTAGACAATAAAATATGGACACTTTCATTTATCTGCTTTATGCCTATAGAGTGAGAAGTTTTGTTTGCAAGTGAGATTGGCTTTGTATCACCAGCATGGTTAGTATAAGACTCAATCCCAGGTAATAGGTGTACTGTTTCTTGCTTCCACTTTGTTGTTGTGGCTTTGCAGTACAGAACTATTTCAGTGTTTGAATCAATATAATACAAAGTACCTCAAGTACAGGTTTGTACCTAGGAATACAAAGCAACCATACTCCTCTAATAATTCATTGCTTAAGCAAAAGGTACAAATCAGCATACATTAGAAGGACAGTTCCGTTAGTAGCTCTTTGGTACTGGAAACAAGAAGTTCTATAACAGTATGAGAGACGGAAAGACTCAAAAGCTCACATCCAAGGACCTTCTGTCCAATGAAATTCAGAATCATCTCACGCGAGACTGGAGCTAGGCGTGGAACAAACGATTCTCGTAAGTATCTATTGTTTGAATTGTTTTAGTAACCATTGCTTTTGTATGTTAACACCAATGATCCAATTTTATACCTTTCGACATGAAAATCGGCAGCGTAACCCATTCCTCCGTGAGTCATGACTGTGTATGTTTACAATCGATTAAAATGTATAGGTAAATAGAATGAGCAGAGACACTATGTACCTGCTCGCTCGCAAGCTTCAAATGCTGCTTCTGCAGCAATGTACTTTGCTGCGTTACAGAGAGCACCTACTTCTGCATGAGAAGTATTGTCTTTGGACTGATTATAGTTGCTAATGCCAATAACCTCATCAAACCTAAGATTTTGTCAAAAACTTGGTATTAGTCAAAGATGCCTCGTTTTGCTGTAGCCATGAAGAAAGCACCTTCGTGCTGCATGTAAAGTAAGCATCTTTGCTGCCTCGAGTGCACACCAAGATTGTGCAAGTGGATGTTGGATAGCCTGATTTTGGCCAATTGTTCGATTGAAGACACGCCTTACTCTTGCGTATTCTGTCGCACGACGTAAGGCGGCATATCCGAGTCCCAGCGCTTCTCCGGCGAGTAGGCACCTCTCTGCACTAATAACAAAAATAAGGTGGAAGAGAAATGTGAAAACTGGAAATGAAGATTAAGTAGACGTACTTCATGCCATGGAGAATGATCTTAAATCCTTCTCCTTCTGAACCGACTGAAAATGCGAAGAAATTGAGCAGATTAAGTAGGTGTTGAAATAGAGAGAGGACTGACTGAGATCATTCTCGTCTATTTCAAAGTTGTCAAAGTAGACCTAAAACGCGTTGAATTAATAATCAAGCGTGTAAGTGAGAAAAAAACCTACTTGATTTGCATCAACTGCACGTCCACCCATCTTCTGTATAGGTTGGACCAGGATACTACCTTCTCTTTTTCCTCTTGCAAAGTCACAATAGAATACCGAGAGGCCTCTATTCAAATGACTTGTGTCGAGTTGCTCAAGCGGAGTGGTACGTGCGAGAAGGACCATGCGCTCGGCGGCTTGAGCGTTTGTTATCCATCTGAAAGCATGCATTTAAAAAGCTGTATGTGCCCTCGAGAGAAGTATTACATTTTCTGTCCGGAGACCAGGTAGCGACGCTTCGTTGCATTTGAATTGTTAAACTTCTCCGCTCTTGTCTGTAGCTTCAGTGTATCAAGTCCTGTATTTGGCTCTGTAACGCCAAAACAAGTGCGTTGACTGCCGTTAATGATCTTTGGTAGGTAGCGACCCTTTTGCTCCGTGGAAGCAAAGCGCAATATCGGCACAGTGGCATAAACACTTTTACGTGAATGAGTAATGTCGAGTTTCAAGAATCAAATAAATCACCAACTTTGCATGAATTGTTTGACAACCGGCTACACCTGCTCCTGATTCGGAAATTGTTTCCATCATTATTGTTGCCTCAGAGATGCCAAGCTCTGTTCCTCCGTGCTCGGTTGGCCTAAATGCGTATTATACAATTTAAATATGTAACGGAATTAATTATACTATACATGCAGATGCCTAGATACCCTGCCTTTGCAAGTTCGCGATGAAGATCGCCTGCGTATTCTGACTTGCTAATCATCAAATCAATGCCTTACAAATATGAATGTTTATTCATGAAGGACGTCAAACTTGCCTATCTTTCTCCGCCCAGTATTCGTCCGGAAATTGTTTGCATATTTTTTGTATCGATTCGCGTATTTCGATCTGTGTTGGGGACAGGCCAGAAGTACTCATCCCACTGAACTTCCGGGCATGCCACTGCCGAGAAGTATTAGAACGGCTCACAAGAGTGCTCGTACTGGTGTTACAGAGGCTACGCAGTGGCGTGAATTTGTGCATTATGGTTGGATCTGCCCGAGAAACGATGCTACATGACTACAGTAAACACGGGAAATGACGGAACGGAATAGTTTCTCACAACGACACACTGTAATGCATTACATAATATAGTCCACTCATCAATGACGAAATTGTGTCTAATCAATAGCAGATCTTATTAGTTTCTGGTCCGATACTGTGTTTTGCTCTGATACAGTATCGTTTTGCTGAACAATATCTCATTTATCAAATAAATGAGGTCAAGACCTGTCTTGTGGTTCACCATCAAATATGTTTTTTGATCGTTGATGTAGAAACAAATTTTATAACATTGCTTTCTTGCTTCCATAAGCAAAGTAAACAGTATATAACTGTATAAGACCTGAGACACTGTATAGATATTGAAGAGGCAACCACAGTCTACATTAGTCTCAGCAGATCAAAGTCTATAAAGATGAGCCAAAAGCATGGCAGTATGTTTGGACACTATGAAGTGAAAGAAAAACACATTAGTAAAATCAAGGACTATAAAGTTCTGGGTATTATTGTTGCCGCTTTTGATGGTAATAATATTGTAGGAAAGCACACTGGAAGATTGAATCAGGAATCTTCTTGCAAGCCTGTTGCTTGGAAAGTTTATATAAAATGCCAAAACCCATCAAGCTCTACAGTTGAATATGTAGCTGTTGGTACAGTTTTTGGTCGTGAGGATGTCGATGCAACAGAAGGAGAATTGGAAGGTTTGCCAGTTGCAGTAAGGTAGGTCATTTAGAAACATATTATGAAAAGGTTTATCTATTAAATAATATACAGTATTGTGTGCACACATACAGATACAGCAAAGCTAGCGTATGCAGTGAAAAAAATATATCTTCCTGCAGCAGAAGATACATCAACAACTTTATTAGACCTAGTAACCTTGTGGATTAGTCTGAAGAGACGCCACAGGTTCCGAAGTGGCACATATAGCGTTGGAGTGTTCTGGGTAAACACTTTGCTTAATGATGCAAAGGAAATAAACTGTATAGCAGATTCTAGCGGGTGGAGAGAGTGGAAGGAGCTCATATCACAAAAAGGAGAGATAATCGAGGTTGACTCAAAACACTATTGTGTTCATGGTGGCGGAAAGTTTGAAGGCTTTGGCAGCAATGCTATAGGCGGCACTACTTTCTAATAGTTTTCTGAAAGTGAGCCGAAGTGGTTCATATATGATGATTAGGTGAAGTCATTGTGTTATTTAGTTATTGAGATGATTATGAATATCACAGAGCTTTCACAACAACAGTTTGAAACTGAAAGAAAATTACTATCGCTATGTTTAGAATATTTATATACAGTGTGTGTTCTAGTGTGTTAATGTACAGATGAAATAAGATCAGAGAACTTACTGTCATACCCTTGCAGTGCTTAGATACAGGCTGACAGAATCAATGGGATCTTTCTCTTTTAGTCTTTGTATACTCTGGAAACTACACGGAAGTGCCTAGTCATACAGTATTTATGCACCAGCTACCAAAAGCAATCAGAGGACACAAGTAAAGCGTTTTCCTTTGCACGCTTTTGTATCCTACATAGAAGTGCACGCTTGGTCTGTTTTTGCTTGTGATCGCGGTGTTTTGACACAGGATGCCGAAAGTGATCGAATGACGAAGACGTATGTAAGGCATCTTCTTTTTTCGTGCATATACTTCTGCGACCCACATGGAAGTGTATGGCTGAAACGAGATCAGACAGGTGTGGACAGTTGCCAAGGACTGTCTGTTGTTTGCACGCTATTTTACAGAGGGAAAACATAGAGACGTGTGTATTAGCAGTGGAGTTGATGAAGATGACTTGGTTGACGCGTACGTGTATTCTTGTCATGTCGTAAATGATCGGATATTATAGAATAGATAGAGTAAAGAGTGTGTATTACCTAGGATGACATGTTATGCTCTCTTGCTCTGGTGGCGTGTATTCAGCAATTCAGTTTGTTGACGTCGGTGCTTTTGAATGTTGAGCGTTGAAGTCTGCGGTCGGCTCCGCATGAGAATTCAGAAAGTGAAGGGTAGGTAGAGACGCAGAGGCTTCCTCGATCGGGCATTCTTGGATCTATGATTGACGTGGTGATCGGCCAGTTGGACAGACAGCAATATTAATTATGGCCCCGAGTTGGGAGATTTATAGACATGATAGTAAAGGAATTCAGTTTTTTTGTTGTTGGCTTGACAGAGAGATGACATGATGTAATGACGACTCGGACAAAGCGATTACCAACGCAAGAGCCAGTACTCGGATCGAGTACACCGGAGTGAAAGGATGAGATGAGGAGATGATGAGCTCGTCCCGAGCATCCGGTCTAATATTACGCTGCGGTGAAGTGGCGTTGAGGGAGTCCTTGGCGGGTGGAGGGAGGATAATGAAACGAGTGTGGTCAGGGATGGCGCTATATGTATTGGCTCATATGAGTACATGTCTGTGTACATGCGCTTGCGGCTTTCGTGTTGTTGGCGGGTAATTGTAAAGGTGGAATGGGGCACGATTGATGAGTGACGTGCGACGTGCACGGAGACGCGAGTGCTGTCGTACTCGTCGTGCGATCATGCCATGGCCCATTCCGAGTGGCGACGGATGTCCCGCGGCACATATGCGTATATAGAATTATGAATATAAAAGGACTTACCGGAGTTGCTCTCTTTCGTAGTGAACTCGTGAAAGTATATATTTATATTCGATTCGGAAACAATAATGCACTGTTGAGGCTGTGAAGACATGGATAGCCGCGAGCAGATTTGGTGAGAAAGAGATTAAAGAAAAAAAAGAAAAATGCTGAGTGAGCGTGTCGGAGAGAAGAGGAGACAGCTGTCAGACAGAACCTTAGTACAGGTTCATTTTTAATTTACCGAAGACAGGACAGGACAGGACAGTCTGGAGCTGATCGATCACTTATTCCTCTTCCGGGCTGATAACGGCTTCGGGCGATGTGCCTGATCGGGTACAGTCTATCCGTATCTGTTGCTGCCCATTGCACAAGTTGCACCAGTGCAACAGTAGGAATAGCGATAAACGCCATTCATCTGAGAATGCAGGGATGTTGGAGGCGAGACCGACTGGGAGAGCGCGCGTCAAAACTACGCACAGGAAGGTTGGAAAGATCAAATGAAAGAGGTAGCGAAAGGGACACAAGGTCGTGAGGACATCACGTGCGATAGACCCAGAAAGGCAGAACGTCTACTGAAGGCGGTGGCTGTGACAAATGAAGTTGCTCGTCGGGCAAACACCCGCCTCGGCATCTCCTCCTCTCTCTCCTCGTCCTTCTCTCCTCTCCATCCCTATTTCCTGGTTGCTGCTGCCAGCATCGACTGACGACATAGACAACAACGACAGCACGAGAGCACAGGACAATCAACTAGGAGTCGTTCGTTCGCTCATACAACCCGACTAGGCCAACGTAACGCCACGCGTCACCTCTGTCCGACTCGTGTTGCCACTTGCACAAAGCCCCTGCCCGTGTGTGTATGTGTGTGCTCTCATCCCTTTCAATCACCCGTTGCCGACGCCGAGCGGGAACGTCTCCTGCTTACGCGGACCACACCTGGGTGAGCGTGTGCGTATGTGAGCCGGAAGAATCGGCCATCACACATTCGTCGTCGCGAGAGTTACTTAGCTTTTCATCTATCATCTATCTATCCCCTGCCTTTCTGGGTCTTAATTACACTCCTCCCCCCTTCCCTCGCTCTCACCGCCTCTTCCTCCTTTACTCCTCCTCTTCCGACAACTACCCTTACCGCCGCATCTTTCCTCTCTCCCCTCCACCACCACCACCTTCACTGCGACACTCTATAGACATCGCCGCCGCCGCTGAGCATACAGCCGACACCCGCGCCCTGTCCGCGCCGCAGCGACTATGGGGGCCTGTGCAAGCGTCCAGGACCGCGCAGAGAGAGAACGCTCAGATGAGATCGACAGGCAGATCGAGGAAGACTCGCGAAAGTTCAGAAAGGAATGCAAGATCCTCTTACTTGGTCCGTCCACCCCTTGTTCACTCCTCCGCGATAGTTTGCTCACTTCACTTGATGTTCATTTAGGGAGCGGAGAGTCGGGCAAGTCGACGATTGTGAAGCAGATGAAGATCATCCATCAAAATGGATACACCCGCGAGGAGTTATCAGCATATCGTCTAACCGTCTACCGAAATCTTCTCGAGAGCGCTCAGGCCATCGTCCTCGCCATGCGTAAGCTCGCTATCGACCCCGTCTTACCCGCGAATCGCGCCCATGCGGATATGATCTTGGCGTACAAGGTCGACCCTCCCTCATCAATAACCGCCGCATCATCCTCCGTTACTGGCGCCAATGCCGCAACTGCGACGGGCGAATTCAGCGAAGAGGTGGCGGCTGCTATCGATGCACTCTGGAGTGATCCTATAATCCCCAAGATCATGGATCACAGCAGTGAATTTTATTTAATGGACTCGGCAAGCTACTTCTTTAGTGAGGTGCGACGAATAGGGAAACCGGGTTATGTGCCAACGGAGACGGATGTATTACGTGCACGACAGAAATCGACAGGGATTGTGGAAACGAGATTCAATATGGGTCAGCTAAGTATACACATGTTCGACGTCGGCGGGCAACGAAGCGAACGAAAGAAGTGGATCCATTGCTTTGAGAGCGTAACATCGATCATATTCTGCACAGCACTATCGGAATACGACCAGGTGCTGTTGGAGGAGGCGGGCCAGAATCGGATGGTGGAGAGCTTGGTGCTGTTCGAGTCGGTCATCAACTCGCGATGGTTCTTACGAACAAGTATCATCTTATTCCTCAATAAGATTGACGTGTTCAAGAGCAAACTGCCGAAGGTGCCATTAGAGAAGTATTTCCCAGAGTACACAGGTGGGGCGGATATCAACAAAGCGGCGAAGTATATCTTGTGGCGGTTCATGCAGGCGAACAGGGCGCGGTTAAGTGTATACCCTCAGTGAGTACTACCTGGTTATGCGGATCACTCTCAGTTGCTAATGTTTCGTGCTGCTACTACTATCAGTTTGACACAAGCGACAGATACGGGGAATATACGACTGGTGTTTGCGGCTGTGAAAGAAACGATATTACAGAATGCGCTGAAAGATTCAGGGATACTATAATACCATTTCGTCCACGACCTTTTCGCCTTTCTCTGTTCGTTTCTTTCGTCATTGCCTTCACGAATCACGCCGCCTTATTCTTTCTCCTCTGCTTCCTCTCACTTTGCCCTTTCTCTCCCTCGCATCTGCATGTTGATCGCTTCACCTGCGTACACGTCGCCGCTTGTCGCCTATCTATGGAACCTCGTCCTTTATTGCCATCGCTTCTCGTATCGCATCGCATCGCTCCTCGCAATCGTCCTTTCCGCTCCTGTCTTGGCTTAGCCTTTCATCTGCTGTTCAGCTTTCTCGATCTCGTCCTCTTTGTCTATCACGTCTCCATCATGATATCCGTATCTGTCACTCACGAATTCGCGCCGTTTCTTCGTCTCTCCATCCCATCCCATCTGCCATCATTGTTACTGCTCATCGCTCGTCGTTCATCATTCATCGCCATTTCCTCCCCTCGTGATCTTCTTTCACAAGCCATCCTCGGTAATGGGAATGTTAGCATATACACCAGTTTCGTTTACTTCTTCGTAAGTCTGAGTTTCATTATTCCCGTTACTCCTCCTGGATGGAGTTGTGCTTAGTGACGAATTGTTCTTTTCGTTCAGGCATTTGTCATGTTTTATTCTTTTACTACCGTCATTTAACCTTTTTCTTTCTTTTCTGTTCCTTAAATTTGTCATTAAATGTTGAACGCGCGCGCATGAATTTGCTTTTTTTATAGCATTTGCCGTTGTAATTCTATTCAAGTAATCTACTACGAGGTACTTTACTCTCTCCATTTTTTTACCACACGTTCGAAGATAATTGAATCGAATGGACCACGGTGTGATGGTCGCAATGCAATGCAATCCAGCGCTATGCAACTTATTGCAAAGGAAGTTAGATACTTTTGCCAAGTCTACTGTATGAGTACGGCCGCCGTGAATATGAACGAGGATATCCGACTCCATCGGTGAATATCAAGTACTTTATCAACATCTATGCATTTGTTGATGGGCAGTAGTGATGGTGGATGGTAGTAGGACTATGTTTAGACATGTATAGACACACTTGGTACGCCCGTGTGAGCCCGAGACGTGCGGCGCGTTGTCGGTGACCCGGTGATGTCAATATGTGGCAACACAGTCAATCGTCAATAATGTATTTATTTATCCGTTCGTGTATGTGTTGCTGCTATGTTTGTGTTTATTGTCTTTATGGTTATGGTTGTGGTTGTAGGATGGGAGGATGGGAGGATGGGAGGATGGGAGGATGGGAGGAGGGGAGGAGGGGAGGAGGGGAGGAGGGGAGGAGGGGAGGAGGGAGGAGGGAGGAGGGAGGAGGGAGGAGGGAGGAGGGAGGAGGGTAGGAGGGTAGGAGGG